ATGATTTTAATAATGATCAAAATGAACCTTTATACTATGGTGCTGAAATAACTGTTGATAGCATGTTGTTAATTTTATCTCTTCTCTTACATCACAATCTTACTATGTCATATATTGCATTATCACAGTAATTGAATTCCATTGTTTGTCTGCAGTTTCAAATACATCATGTTTAAGAATCTTATAAACAATTGCATAATGTTGGTGACAACGATCGCAAATAAGGTGATTACAACGTGATAACTTAACGAAACAATAAACGAAAGCTAATTTCTCTTCATAAGTCTCATAATATTGGACTATAGATGACTCAGTTTGTAACAATCGATTATACAATTTTGATACATATAGTTTGTTTTTGTAAAGGAGTTTTAAATATTGATATAGTGTAAAATTATCGTACACTATTCCTTTAGTGTCAAATGCATTTTGTATAATGTCTGTAATTGGTTGTCTTTTATATATACCAACACTATACCAATGTATATATAATTGTTGTATAATTTTGACTTGCTGTTTTTTTCTCATGCAAAAGTTTTGAATGTCAATATTTGGCAATAATTCTAATATTCTAATCATTTTGATAAATTGATGTGTACTTGCTAATTGTGTATCGATGTGACGTGTACCTTGTATTAGTTTTAATAATTGACCATTTAAATCTTCATTTTCATAACACGTGTAAGCCCATAAAGGACCCAACGTTTTTACACAATTTCCTAAATGTAAGAGTAAATGTATATTTATGGAACAAAATTGAATGCCGTACGTAATTTCAAATTCACGAACAAAACGTCGTAATAAATCGTGAGATACTTGTATCATATAGTCTGTAATTCGATTGGAACTTAGAATATTTATAGCTACAACTAACCGTAGATAATGCTCAAAATAATCTGCCCGCATTATATTTTCGACAACGGGAACAGAATAGATAGATAGATGACAAAGAGCGGGGGGCTTGTGAGACCCTATTGTCACCTAGATCTCTAAGATCCTTTGCGACTCCCGCTAGTTGTTAATCGACCAAGCTGCTAAAACCCGGCATTTGCTGCCAGGCTACACAGTTGGCCGATTTTAATTATTT